TGGGGGGGGGGGGACCCATGTCTGTAAAGGAGTTGGATTGAGAATAGGAAAGAGAGAGTGACGAGGAGTTCATGGCTCAAGGTAGAGAGAGAGAGTCAAAGAGTGGGTCAGACCAGACACCATGTGATGGCCTATTCTTCATTTCATTGGTTTTATTGTTTTACCCATTATACCCCACGAATCTTTATTATTTACAACTATACTGAATAACAATGAATAAAAATTATATAAAGTTCATGAACCGTGAAACGAGCCTATTGAGCAGCTTGGACTTGGCTCGAATTTCAAACAAGTTTTAAAAATTGTTTATATTCGTCTCATTTAACAAAACAAGCCTCAACGAGTTAAAAACGAATTGAACTCGAGCCAAATCCGAGTAGCTCAGATTGTTTACCATCCCAAGTGGTGTCATGTTGCATTTGCTTTCTTCAATTATGTCCTCAATTCATAGACTCTTAAAATCACGTAATAATGACTTATCCCCGTTGGGAAATGATGACGTAGAAAAACTATGATTGGTGATTTGGGTTAGTTACTTTAGTTGAGTACAGTTTTCTCTGCTGACAACAAAAAAAACAAAAGTCACTTTCTCTTGCCTTACCAAATTTTAGTTTTTTTTTCCTTTTATTTATTATTCTCTTTTTCTTTTCTTTTTTCTTTTTTTTTTCCTTTTGGATATGATTTTGGCTGCTGGACCGAGAGTGCATACTTACACCATGCTGCCTCCGTACATAAATATACTTAAAACATAGAAATCATTCTATAAGCATATCATCCAAACAATCATTTCTTATTAGGGATCAAGGGGGGAATGGCTATGTTTTGTGCATTGCAAGGAAAAGTAATGATACAATTCTGTTTGCAACTTTTGGTCATTTTTTTTTTCCTTCTCTCTCATTATGTCTTTTGTTTTGCATGACAAAGTATCACATGGAATTCTAGGTCATGTGTTAGACGCTCAATATGACTAAAATAGAAAATAAGTAGCAAGAGTATTGTAGGAAATAGGAAGTAACAAATTACAGTTTGGACGGCCAATGTCTAGAAAAGCATGGTTTTGGAGCACTTGAAATTAGTAGAATGATTGTAATGAGGTTTACAAACTTCTTAATTTCAGGTTGATGGATTGGTAGCATTGATGGAAGGTGAGCATGTAGGGCCTTTCAACCTGGGTAATCCTGGAGAGTTTACCATGTTAGAGCTTGCTGAGGTTTGTTTTTCTTGTTTTTTAACTTGGCTTCTACTGATGAATGTTTTTTCTCACTTATTGTCTGGTCGAAATAAATTAGCCTCATTGACGTTACTTTCCTCCTTTCGTCCTCCAATATAGGTTGTCAAAGAAACAATTGATTCCAGTGCAACCATAGAATTTAGACCGAACACTGCTGATGATCCTCATAAGAGGAAACCGGATATTAGCAAAGCGAAAGAGTTGCTGAACTGGGAGCCAAAAATACCCTTGAGGAAAGGGTTGCCTCTCATGGTGACTGATTTCCAGAATCGCATTTTGAATGAAGATGAAGGAAAAGGGCACAAGTAGGTGAGATGGCGACACAAGTATGTATAATGGGAAAAGTATGCTTTTGTTCGTTGTGGCTCTTAAATTTTGCATTCATAATAGAATTATCGTAAATGTCTGTCCTTTTGTAGTACACCAATCCTTCAATTTGATTTCAAATCATATACATAAAAATTAAGGTTCAGCGATTATGGGAGACATCTTTGAGCTGAAAAAATGATGTTATATGAAGATAAGCTCAGTGCTTTGTTTAAGCAATTAACGAAGACAAGTTTCCAGTGTAGTGCAAGTGAAACGATGAGCACCCATGTCATTAGCTTAAGAGGACGAAAGGCAGGGGCGGAAAACCTGTGAGCTTGACCGGTAATTGCCGATTTTCATAATCGGCTGTGACAGGAGAGCTAAAGTAGCTGAAGAATACAGAGAGAGAGAGAGAGAGAGAGAGAGAGAGAGAGTGGACTATTTATTTTCCGTAAATCAGCTCGTACAAAAATGGCAATTGATGGAGAAGTGGGCTATTTATTTTCTTTCTTCCTCCCATTTTCCTATCCCTCTTGCGGGTTTTTTCAATAGTAGGCTGATTAGGATAAGTAAATCAAGTTTGTAAATTTTTCGAAGATCTCACAGCGATGAAGACTCAAGAAAATAACCCCAAAGGCTATTCATTCAAGTGGTAACATGAACAAATTTGTAAACACAAATGTCTTTGAGTTCTAATCTTGACAATTTTTTGGGGTTAGACCATGAAGAAATTATTTAGTTTTGACGTGGATGATCTATTTTTGATTAGAATAGGAAGAGGATTAGTCGAAGTATGCGTAAGTTGATCTAGATATTTGTGATTATTGAACCCAAAAAAAGACTTCTAAAAATAATAATGAAGACTATATTGGGATTGAGATCTCCGCTAATTGATTTTCTCTTCAATTCTCTTTTTTGGCTAATAATTTATCATGTATTTAAGTGAAATCCATGGTATACAAATAGGCTCCTCTTTTATTAGTGGTTGATGGTCATTGAAAAAATAAATTGAAAGAAAAGTGTATTGAGAAAGATCGGTATTCATTATACTGTTTTACAATACTCACTAGTTTTGGCTCTATATTTAGTTTTGTTTTTTAAAAATTGAACTCAACAAAATGATTTTTGTAATAAATGCAGACTTAAGGGCTGATGATTAAAACCAAAAAAAGGGTTGGTGATCATCAAAGATTATCAAGCCTGAGTGAATGAAGAACTACACAAGTTTGATATCGATAATGGCATATGTTTAATCCTTTTATAAGTAGATTCAATTCAACCAAATCCGTTTTCAGAACCACCTCTTGATACAGAAGAATTGTGCCATTTTCCCCTTCTAAACCTCTGCCCAATCATTGACTCAAAGGCAGTGCTCACAAATCATACCCTCATTGATGGAAATGAATCTCTTTTTTTTTTTTTTTTTTCTGCTCAATCAATTATTTTATTTCTTTAGGTCAGGATCTTGGATTAATTAACTCACCCATTCTCGATATCTTGCAAATAAATGACATCCCAAATTAAGGATTTAGATTTCTTCCAATATTTTGACACTTTCCTCCTCGGTAGATCAACCATTATCTATTAGTTAGAAATATACTTATTTATAACGGGTTTCATTTGAATTCATGGGCATTAGAATAACAAAAATCACGTTGGCGGGATCTTTTTTTTTTGGGTAATTTGAGGATCTCACACCTCAAATTAAGTACAAAAAATCTATAAAGTTAATACCTTAATCAATCCCAATCCAAACCAGCTAATTAATCCTTAATTTTATGCATGTTCATCATTGTATTGCGTATTTTGAATACTTTCCTATGTACGTAACTTCTACACATATTTAAAGGGCAACGGAGTATTAAACAGTGATCAGAATAAATTTGATTCAATTGTGAAGAAGATGATGAAAGCTGCCCAAAAAGTTTCACCGCTGATCCTTGTGGTCACACTACTGCTTTTGGGCCTTGCTGCTAGCAGTGTAGATGGCAGAGGAACAGCAATAGGAGAGATGGTTCATACATTTTTGCTGCCCAAGAATATACACACGCCACCATCTACACCATCTTCTAAAATAAATCCTCCTCACGTGCCTTCCGATCTGCATCTCACACGTTCTACACGTATCTATTCAATGTTGCCCAACAGTATACCCTTGCCACCATCTACACCATCTCCTAGAATAAATCCTCCTCCCATGCCTTCTAACCCGCATCTCACACGCTCTATACTTATCTATCCAATGTTTCCCAAAAGTATACCCTCACCACCATTTCGACCATCTCGTAAGATAAATTCTCCTCCTGTTCAATCCAATCCACATCTCAAACGCTCTACACTTCTTGATCCAATGTTACCCAAAAATATACCCTCGCCACCATCTGGACCATCTCATAACATACACCCTCCTCTTGTGCCATCCAACTCACATCTCATACGTTCTACACTTATATATCCAATGTTGCCCAAGAATATACCCATACCACCATCTGGACCATCTTCCAAGACATCTGACCCACCACCATCACCACCCATGCACATCCGCTGGAACTTTGGTGGCCCATCAACTAGTTTTGGTCCTCCAACTTGGTGATGACGGCCAATGTTGCAAAGAAGTTGTGTGAGGCTATTTGACATCCCTTTTGGGTCTCATCTATGCCATTTTTTTTGGGTTTGTATCTGAACAATAAAAGGCCCCTTTTATGCCTATTTAGGCCACCTATATTACCGCTAATAAAATGTTTTGATTTTAAATGTATGTCTTGTTTGAGGGGCTGCATTTGAATGCATAATTCATTTTTAGAATTAAGTTATCGAACAACAATTTCTATATTAGGACTATTCTTAATATTTATCTTAGGACAAATCTTATAACTAGCTCAAGTATGAACAAGTTCGAACAAGTAAGATCAGGTTTGCATGAAATTAATTTTTCACTAGCAAAACTAATCCGTTATATGAACGACAATCCTTACCGTAGGTACGTACTTTGGAAGGCCAACTTCCACTTCCAAACCTACCCAATAATTAGCTCCAAGGCATACTCCGTACCCCCCACCCCCCCAAAAAAAAAACCATGACACTCCTTTTTTTCTTCTTAATAAATAATTTACCATGAATTCAAGTGCGACCTGTTCTGTATAAATGGATTCCTCATTAATATGTGGTATGTGAATTACCAAAAAAAAGAAAGAAATTTGTACAAGCATCATGTTTAAAGTAAGATTTGAAAGAGATAAGTGATAAACAGTCTTACCTTAATTTTAAAAAGGCGGATTTATAAACTCAAAAACAACATACAACTTACACAAAAAAATTCATGTTCGTTGATGTCACTGTAATTGATACTCTATCCAATTAACTCAAAAAATAAAATGAGATCAATAATTTTTAAAATTATGCAAACAAGTATCATTCTCAATTAAGTGTCAATTATTTCTGAAGTTATATCAAATCACTAACAAATTTTCACAATAAAAAAGTTCCCTCACTTTTGAGTTGTTCAAATTGTATATTTAGATCGTTCCCTAATGAATTAATGACTACATTACACATAACAAAAAAAGGGTAATGACTCGAAATATTTAATAGGAATGATGTACATAACAGTGGCCAAGACAAATTGATGCAATGGTGAAGAAAAGATGATGAAAAGTAGCAAAAAACTTTTCTTAGTTGCCCTTGTGGTCACAGTACTGATTTTGGGCCTCACTGCTAGCAAATCAGATGCCAGAAGAGTAGCAAAAAATGGAAAAGTTAGGTCTATGATGCTGAATTTTGACAAGGTTCCATATGATTCGAATAGGGTGAACTTAAAGATGGTGCCTAGGGACACATTTGACCCACCACCACCACCACCACCCATGCACATCCATTGGAACTTTAGTGGCCCATCAACTAGTTTTGGTCCTCCAACTTGGTGATGACGGCCAATGTTGCAAAGAAGTTGTGTGAGGCTATTTGGCATCCCTTTTGGGTCTCATCTATGCCATTTTTTTTGGGTCTATATCTGAACAATAAGAGGCCCATTTTACTCTCATTTAGGCCACCTATATTACTGCTAATAAAAATGTTTTGATTTTAAATATATGCCTTGTTTGAGGGGCTGCATTTGAATGCATAATTCATTTTTAGAATGAATTAATCAAACAACAATTTCTATTTTAGGACTATTCTTGATATTTATCTTAGGGCAGATCATATAACTAGCTTAAATATGAACAATTTTGGACAAACAAAACCAGGTTTGCATGAAATTAGTTTTTCACCGGTAAAGTTGGAGAATTCTCTCTCTTCATCGTATTTCACCACTTGTATAAAATAGATATTGCCTTGGAATTTATAGTAGATGATATATCATAATTGCAAAATTGTGTTGAGAGAGATTTGTATATATATATATATATTTTTTTTTTTTTGAAAGAGATTTGTATATTAAGTTGAGCAAATTCAACCAAATCCGTTATCTGAACAACAATTCTTACAATAGGTACGTACTTTGGAAGGCCAACTTCCTCTTTTAAACCTACCCAATAATCAGCTTCAAAGTATACTCCATAACCCCCCCCCCCCCCAAAAAAAAAAAAAAAAAAAAAAAAA